TCAGCCGGTTAAGCAGCCGACTTCAGCCAGGTCACCATCTCGCACTCCGTGAGTTCGAGCCCCGCGTCGGGCTCTGGGCTGATGGCTCAGAGCCTGGAGCCTGCTTCCGATTCTGTGTCTCCCTCTCTCTCTGCCCCTCCCCCGTTCATGCTCTGTCTCTCTCTGTCTCAAAAATAAATAAACGTTAAAAAAAATTAAAAAAAAAAAAAGAACTCCCCTCAGGAACCTAACAAAAGACCTGACTAAAAATCAGGAGACCATAAAACTTACGACCCACAAGGAGCAGTATGGTCATAGACCACCCCTTATACAATGGAAAACAAGCCAATCAGGAATGGACAACCCAGAACCTAGAGTTATCCAGCCAATAAGGGCAGAACCTGAGAAGGAATGAGGGGGAAGGGAAGGTAGCCGGACCACAACCTTATAAAATAAGGACCTTTGCCTACTGTCACCAGCATTCACCTTCAAGGGTCTCCTCTCTGTAAAGAGGGCTTTCGTACTATTCTTACTTTTTGATCTGATGTGTCCACCTCTTCATTCTTTGAAGCAGGGAGACAATGAGCCCTAGGCATTGAGGTTTAAAAAAAGTTTTTTAAATCCTGGAAAATACTGGAGTTCTATGGAAGATGTTGCTTAAAGAAATAGGTTCACAACTAAAATAGTAATAAAAAATTCTGAAAACCACTGATTAAAGGAACAGAATCTTACCATAAAAAACAACAACAACAACAAAAAAAACAAAAACAAACAAGCAAAAAAAAAAAAAAAAACCTCATGAATTTGCTGGTGATTCTTCTTTCTCCCTTGAGAAACTGGCTAGGGAGAACACATCCAGCCAATCCTTCCCCCCCACCCCCATTATTCTATCAAGTTAGTTTTGGTTACATCTCATCTAACTTCAGATCATGCTACTTGATACAAGATTTTTTTAACTGTAATTAGAACATGTAACTGTAAGCTGGCAAAAAATGCTTGAGTAAATATCAATTAAAACAAAAGTTTAAAGCAAGTTTTAAGTTCAGTTCAAACAAAAAGTTTTAGATTCAAAAACAAAACCAAAATCTTCTTTGTGAGTGGGCAATTATTTTAAAAGTACACATTCAGGGAAAAGAAGTCACCAAATATTTGGGTGAATACTCAGGAAGAGAGGATAGGTGGGTGGGCCACTTGGGATGAAAACTGAAAAACAGACAAGATTGAGGGATTTAAAAAAATGTCCAAATAAATTTCACAGAAAAAGGGAAGAGAATGAGCAAAGTATAGAAAATGTAAATAACTATTTCCAAAGAATGGCAAACATCTCAATTTGGCCTGGACACAGGTGAAAGGCAATGACAGGAAAAAGGAATATGAATTTAGGTGGGGCCAGACAATGAAAGGTTCTCAACACCAACAGTAAGGGCCTGCCTGGGCTTTTTTTTTTTAGTTACAGAGTCGAGATACTACAGAGGTAGAACAGATAGAATTGACAACAGAATGGAAGCTATGTGGAGGAAAGGAAAATCAAAGATGATGCAGAAGTGGAATTTGGGTAAGCACTAACAGGACCTGAGAGCTTTGAAGTAATGGACTTTCAGTATCTACCAGGATTGTTTATATGAAGAATTTCAAAAGTACAACCAATATACTTGACTGATACAAACTTTATTTTTCATGCCAAAATGTTTACAAATTTTATTTTTTCATACACAATTACAAGAGCAACAGTTACAAGTAACTAAAAAAATAGCATTTGGGGGCACTTCTATTCCTTTTGCTAACATAAGCATGTTTTGTTACATGAACAGCAACAATAATTACAATTACAGAACTGTTTAACTTGGGAATTTAGTGTTAGGATGGAGGCTAATCCATGAAACAAGCAAAGAGTAAGTGCCCAAACATAGTCTTTCATTCTATATTCTTCTTTATTCCATAATTAGAATCTACCCAGTAATGCCATCATTCAAATATCTGACCAGTTAGGTCAACTCAGCATTTTCCAAACTCTTACTTAATTTAGTTCTACAAGTGAATCTAAGACAAAACACACAAGGCATAGCTTGCTGATATCTGATGCCTAAAACAAACTGTTACATAATGAAGTTATGAATCTTATGCAACTTGGCATGTGTTCCATCTCACACAAGAACTAAAAGATGAATAGTACCTACAGCACTGAGAGTCACTCCACCACAGCTGATACAGTATCTCCCAGACTTCTAGTTTCTAAAATTCTGGGGGAAGTGGGACAATTTGAACAGTAATAGTCTACACGGTAGTAATATTACCTCTTGGCCATTGGCCCAATACTAGTCCTTTTTGTTTTTTAGTATACAAAATATGCTGAAAACATTTCCTTAAACACATTTCAATTAATGTAATTAAACAGAAGGCAACAATTTCCTTCTATAAGAGTTATTTAGCTATGAAAAACTTGCCATATATTTGTTAAATTAATTTACGGAATATTTTTAGGGTCAATACAGATATTTAATTTAGAGCCTATCCTAAACATGTGTAAAAAGAACTACAAACATGATCACATTCGGTTTTTTTTTTTAAACTGGAAATTACCATTTTTATCCCTATAGTAATTTTATAAATATATCACTTGCTTTTATCCAAATTAAGGATAAATTTCAAAAATCCACTGTGAAATTTACATTCTCACTAAGCACAAAAATACACAAATATTAGTTCTAATCAGAAATTTAAGCTAAGTGAAAATTTTTACTCTGAAATAAGTAGACCTGGGATATAGAAGTAAAAGTTTTGATCGAAGCAGATCACAAATATATTCTGTTTTCATGTAAAAATAATTTTTTTAAAGAAATAATGTTTAATAGTCTTTTAATCCCATCTTTTCAAACACATATTTTTCTTTTAAAATAAAATACTTTCAGATAAATATTTCATTTAAAATCTGATTTTACAAAAAAGAAATAAAATTAATTATTCTTAGATGTATTTGAGCCAGGTAGTTGCTGCTTCCAGATGTTATGAGCTACAAATCGATTTATGACACTATGGTAAGTAACCTTTGGCTTCCAACGTAATAACTCGAAATTCAATTCACACTGCCTACCAAAGAAGTCTGATGTATATTTGTAAATTTAAAATTTTACATCTTTTAAAAAGAAAAAAATCCAAACAGATAAGTATGAATTATTTTAAAAATCAGTGATAAGCCATTTTTTATCACACCAAAGATCTATAAAATTATAATAAAGTCTCTTAATAGTATTTTTGAAAATACTATCAAAAACTTCAAAATCTTATATATATTAAGTACAACCAATATATTTTTAGAAAGAAAACATCTTCAAAGGCTGAAAAGGAAATATGCTATTTTTAAGAGCAATGTTTGAGTCAATCAGACATGTTTTCAATCTGAAATCTGCCACTTCCAAGCTTATGCATATTTCTTAACTTCTCTAAAACTCTTTCCTCAGATTTAAAATGGGGAGCAACGTCAGTAGCTACCTTAGAGGGCTTTCTGAGGAATAATCAGATAATGCACATAAGAGATTGCTGCAGTATCTGACAAAGTAACTAATAGATATTAGCTAGACTGAGCAGTAACTTCCTTAGGGGTCAAGTACCCAACAAACTATTTTCTTAAATAAAATGTAATCATTATATACAGAATTATTTATCTTAAGAATTAAAAAAAAAAATGGTGTGGAAGGGGGTTGGAGACATTCCGTATAACAAAACACCCCTATATTGCAATAATGATACCTTTATTGTATTTTGGCAATCACTTTCTCTCTATTGTAACACTGTACTATATCACTTCCAAAATACAATTCAGAAGATCTAAACTGAATTTTTTTTTGTCACAAATCTTAGAGAAAATAATTACCTCATTGGCCTAAATAAATGAAAAAGGCACAGAAAAACTGCTCACAAATAAAACCACAGTCATTTACATATTATGTACCATAGTAAAGATGGTTATTTGGCAATTTCAAGCAATTTATCTGGTATCTAATATTGTCACACTGTTCTTATTTCAAATCTCAAATACATTAACCTCTATTATTTATATATAGCCTTGTGTGACAACCTATCAGTCATATCTTTATTGGAATGATCAAGAAATACTAAATTTTAAAAGAAAAATTCAGCTATAGATTATGCTCCAAAGTATTTCACAAATGCTCATTTTCCATTTAAAATATTTCAGGTACCAACTTAAAGATACCCAAATCTTAGTCCATCAGTATTATTTTGATTGTCACTAGGAACCATGTGAATGTTTTCTCTGATTTTTAATCATACTAACCTGAGTCAACAGGGCTTCTCAATGGACTCTATTTTAAATGACAGAGCACACACATAGGAGACAGAAAAATTAGGTATGGCCCCCTAAGATTATTTACTGAATATGTGATCTTCAGCAAGTCCCTTAACTTCTCCATGCCACGTCTCCTCTTCTAAAAGATAAGGATCCTGCCCTTCTCCTTTGTCTGACTCACAGGACCAGGTAAATTATATAAGAGAAACATGAAAGCTTTTACAAGGGCATATGTTAGCTACATACAATATCAACACACAGAGACTTGTTATAGTATTGGATTTGGTTAGGATGACCAGTCTATTAAAAGTGTAATTTAAGAAAAAGTTATTCTTGAGAGTATCAGGGGGAAAAAATTATAACATCTTTACCATATCCTTTGAATAAGATCTGAAAGCAGTTTTAAATTTTTTTTTTCAACGTTTATTTATTTTTGGGACAGAGAGAGACAGAGCATGAACGGGGGAGGGGCAGAGAGAGAGGGAGACACAGAATCGGAAACAGGCTCCAGGCTCTGAGCCATCAGCCCAGAGCCCGACGCGGGGCTCGAACTCACGGACCGCGAGATCGCGACCTGGCTGAAGTCGGACGCTTAACCGACGGCGCCACCCAGGCGCCCCTGAAAGCAGTTTTAAAAAATATATTGCTATCTATCCTATTACTATGTAAGAAAAAATACACTGGACAATGCTCATTCGCCTTCCCTGTGTTTTTCTCTTTTTTTAATGGCTGTAATTCTGTTTCACCTGAATGTATTTTTGTAATTTTATTAACTTATACCTGCTCTGTTCCAAGCTTATTCTGGCAAGTTATTTAAAACTTCTCTGAAAGTAGTCACAGGTGATCTTTTTTTCTACTACAGGTTTGCACTCATCTTAAATTCTAGGTTTTTCTACCTTATGCTTCATGGAAAGTAGGTACAATAAAGTGTTAATTTTTAAAAATGAAGAAAAAATATTCAAAACTAAGTCACTAAAAGCAAATGTTCCTTCACTTTCCTGTATCTTCAGCAAATACTATGCATGCACTCCAAAAGGATATCAGACCACAAATCAACAGAAAAATCCATTCACTTACACTACATACTCTTATGAAGTTAAAAGATAAACCAGGATTGATTTCTGAAGAAGGCATATCTGAAGGGTGATTATGAAAAAATGAAGGGTGATTTTGAAGTAAGGACAAGGAGAGAACAGAATATGATAAACATTTTTGAAACACTTTATGATTTACACAGTCAGTGAAATACTTTCATCTCTAGGTAACTCACTAAATGAGAAGAAGCCTGACAGGTGACTGGTCAGGTATACAGAAAGATTTGGAAGCCCTAATATAGATGATTGTTGGTTAAAGTCACAGGAGTAGAAATTTTGAAGCAAAAGAGGGTCTAGATAATAGTCACTGAAAGATCAAAAGACAGAATGAGGGAAAATGAAATGAGAATGATTTGAAAAATACAAATAGAATCGAAACATTAGAGGAGTGTTCAGTTTCAAGGAGAATAGGAGTAGTCAAAAATCATAGAAGAAAAAAACATGAAGGCTGGGTTTGACTAGTGAGTCTATAACAAATGTAATGGGGTGACTTTAATAGCAACGATGGGTGAGTTAGCAACGATTAAGGTAAAACAACAGTCCAAAAAAAAAAAAAGTGTATTCTACCCATTTAAAATGTTCACTCAGGAAAACTTGGGGAAAATTATAATAACACTAAAGGGAGACCTGAGTGTGTTTAAAGGCAGAAAGGAGACTTCATTAGCTCTAAATAATTAAACAAAGCTTGTGTGTAACAGCTGAGAGAGTCCGACTGATAAACAGGTATGTTTCAGACCTAAGTTAGGCACTTTGAGGGAAAGGGAACCTGACTTCTGTCTCTAGGGAACAGAAAGAAATTAATCTCAAGCCACTTATTTATTTATTTATTTTTTTGGTATCACAGTTGGTCCCTACCCTCAGTGGTATATATTTACAAGGTAATTAGAACTTGGTAAGTGAAAAGGCACAAAGCCCAAACAGAAAATGGTATTGAAAATATAAGATGACAAAATGCAAAAATCAATAATTTCCACTTGAAAATAATTTTAAATAAAATCCAAACAAAAAGTTGAAAATTTAAAAACGTTAACTGCTAGAGGCTTGATATCCATGTGATGTGCAAAGTGATTAAATTTTTAAAAAGCATAATATAGGTTTAATTCTTATATAGCCACCATCATTTAATAAGATTTCTTGGAGAATTTCTACCAAAGACACAATTTCCTCCTTGAAAACAGGCATAAAATGGGTAACATTGGGTGACTTGGGTACCAAAGAGTTGTGAAAAGTGTCTCCACAACTTGTTAGTCTGAAAAGCAACATTAAAAAAAAGTGGAGCATCAAAATACTTTATTTCAAAATCACTTGATGCCTGATCCTGTATGTAACTGGAACCATATTCACATTCTATAAGTTTCTGAATTTCAATTTCCCGTTTTATTTATTTTTTATGAGCAACTTACTTTATTTTGAATCTGTACTTTATTTGACATTTATTTAAGCTGTATAAAAGCCATGCACAGTTTATTTACAATATTATACATTAACGATGTTTGAAGACTACACAAAAATTTCACAAAACTTACTTAGATGGAAAGACATGTGAAACAGGGAGCTTTCAAAAATTTTAGATTCAGAATTTTGCAAAGATTATTTTGGTTTCTAGTGTTCTGCAAGCACTGGATTGAAATAAGACTGACAAAAACGTGCAAATGAGTAGAATTTCAATAAATGAAAAACTACAAATGTTTAGCTAAAAGCTAAAATACCTTGAAATCCTACTATGTAGCAATGGGAATTTATAAAACAGAAAAAAAAAGGTTATTTTTAAAAGTCTTTCATGAATAACAGGCTCTCAGTAATATTCTATAAAAACATTCAGAAATAAAGTTTCTCAAATTATGTCCATCATCAAAGTTAGGTTTTCAGTAGTGGCCGAAGCTGTGAATTGTAAATTACTTACTGTCCTACATGGGAAGTCTCAATTTCCCCCGCTAGGGAGAGGGGGAGAAGAAAATCAATTGGCAAATTTAGATTCAAGTAAAAGATCCTGGTACAGACAACATGAACACAGAGTGGATCGCTGCAGTAATGTTCGAGTCCACCTACTTTTACTTGTACCCCTAAAATGGAAGGTGTAAACTTTAGTTTTCTTCAATTTAAGATCTCCTATCAGGAAGTAAGTACCTCATTCTTCAGAGTTCTAGAAAATATCGATAGGGATTTCTTCTTCTCCACTGGCATATCATTCAATTTTTACTGTTGTGGCTGAAGTACATTTAGATACTCAGACTGCCCCAACTGATAAGTTGTGTTCCTTCCACAATCAACATACTGGTATCTTTCCTGGGATATCTGTTCAGAGTGTCCAAAGTATGTTGTTGTCACAGTAACTCTAAAAAAGAAAAATTGGGAGACATAACAAAAAAAAAAAAACTCAAACAGGGAGACACATTATTATTTACATAGTTTTCTGAACTGAGAATACTTTCATATAGCAAAATTTTCTCCAGGGAGAGACTGATTAATGATAATATTGTGGACATGGGCCACTCAGGGAATATTTGCCCAACAGATAGCATAAATGCTGATTTAGCAAGCCTACTCCAATAATTATACACAAGAAACACCATGTTTTCAGAACATTTATCATTACTTAAAAATACGTAAGTTCATTTCACTTTTAAAAACAAAATTCTCTCATCACAGGAAAATTCTTTCATTCTTTCATCACATTTTGCGCCATTAGCTGATGGTCCAAACACCAAACCTATAACCTACAATGTCTTAATGGCCCAGAATAACACCCAATTTGCACATTAGTAACAGTACTTATTACTGTGAAGGACTATTTACCATAGATAACAGAACAATGGATGCTGAGCTCTGTCCTCTTTTTCATCCCAACACCTGCCATCTTCCTGTGTTCTTGCAAGGTCTAGATTCACTCTTCAGCAGCCATGTGATCCTTCACTACTTCTCCGAGCTCCAATTTCCTCATTCTTAAAGTTGGATAATATTTACTCATCTCATCGCACTCTTTTAAGGCTTCAAACCCGACTGAACTGATACTTATAAAGGTGTTGTGTATGCTATAAGCCAAAGTTATAAATCTAAAGTTTAAAAAAGAAATATTTCTTTCAAAAAAAATTCATACTTACTGCATCATGAGTACGATATTATGTACTTTGATTGATATCAGTGTACAAAAATCACTGTTAAAAAGAAAAAAACAATGTGAGTAAATGTGGCTGATATTATAATTTAAAATCACTTAATTATGATTCCTTTCCCTATGTTAAAACTAAAAGAGATATGATACACAAGACATAAGTAAGCATTTATTGATGGAACATTTTCTGCACCTAATAATGATAAAGATTTTCATGACTTTTTATTCTAAAAACAGACATGTTTTACTACAGCAATTGTAGAGTTGTTGCACACTGGCTACAAATTACTGCTACTTTTTATTCATCTTTGAAATTGTAGTGAACAGTTTGTTAGAAATTCTGTATCAGCCTGATACTATAAAAGATGATAAAAAATCTTTTTTTTTTTTTTACTTAAGAGTTAATAATCACTTAGACCCAATGTAAAAGCTTTAGAAATTCAATAAGAGAACATTATACAATACTAGCATTTTTAGTTCTGCGATACTAAAGTCAACAAATACTAAAATGTGTGAGACTATGGTTCTTATAGTAAATAAAGTGACATGGTGTGCTGAATGGGAAAATTATGCAGCCAAGAATTCTTTATCCAGCAAGGCTGTCATTCAGAATACAAGGAGAAAAAAAGAGTTTCCCAGACAAACAAAAGTAAAGAAGTTTGTGACTACTAAACCAGCCGTGCAAGGAAGAGGGACTGGGGGCAAGGCAGTGAAGAATAAAAAGGACCAGAGAACATCACCAGAAACACCAACTCTACAGGTAACACAATGGCACTAAATTTATGTTTCAATAATCACTCTGAATGTAAATGGTCTAAATGCTCCAATCAAAAGACATAGGGTATCAGAACGGGTTTAAAAAAACAAACAAACAACCCACACACAAAAACAAGACCCATCTACATGCTGCCTACACAAGACTCATTTTAGACCTAAGACACCTGTAGATTGAAAGTGAGGGGATGGAGGGGCGCCTGGGTGGCTCAGTCAGTTAAGCGTCCGACTTTGGCTCAGGTCACGATCTCGCGGTCCGTGAGTTCGAGCCCCGTGTCGGGCTCTAGGCTGATGGCTCAGAGCCTGGAGCCTGCTTCCCATTCTGTGTCTCCCTCTCTCTCTGTCCTTCCCCCATTCATATTCTGTCTCTCTCTGTCTCAAAAATAAATAAATGTTAAAAAAAAAAATTAAAAAAAAAAAGTGAGGGGATGGAGAACTATCTGCCATGCTAATGGACATCAAAAGAAAGCCAGAGTAGCCATACTTATATCAGACAAACAAGATTTTAAAACAGACTATAACAAAAGATGAAGAAGGCATTCTATCATAATTCAGAGGTCTATCCATCAAGAAGATCTAACGACTGTAAATATTTATGCCCCCAACCTGAAACACCCAAATATATAAATCAATAATGATAAACGTGAAGAAACCTACTGATAATAAAACCATAATAATAAAAGTTTAATACTCCGCTTACAGCAAATCAACAAGGAAACAATGTCTTTGATACAATGGACAGGATGAACTTAACAAATATATTCAGAATATTTCATCTTAAAGCAACAGAATAGACATTCTTCTCGAGTGCTCATGGAACATTCTCCAGAATAGATCATATACCGTGTCACAAATCAGTCAGGTCCAAAAAGATCAAGACCATGCCATGCATATTTTCAGATCACAACACTTTGAAACTTGAAGTCAACCACAAGAAAAAATTTAGAAAGTCCTCAAATACGTGGTGGTTAAAGAACATCCTACCAAAGAATGAATGCATTAACCATAAAATTAAAGAAGAAATAAAAAAATACAAGGAAGCAAATGAAAATGAAAACATGACAGACCAGAACCTTTGGGATGCAGCAAAGGCAGTCCTAAGAGGGAAGTATATTGCAATAAAGAATTAACAGGTGCCTGGGTGGCTCAGTCGGTTAAGCATCTGACTTCGGCTCAGGTCACGATCTCACGGTTTGTGAGTTTGAGCCCCGTGTTGGGCTCCGTGCTGATAGCTCAAAGCCTGGAGCCTGCTTCAGATTCTGTGTCTCCCCCTCTCTCTGTCCCTCCCATGCTCATGCTCTGTCTCTCAATAATAAATAAACGTTAAAAAAATTAAAACAAAAAAGGGTCTACTTCAAGAAGAAAAGTCTCCAAATACACAACCTAACCTTACACCAAGAGGAGCTAGAGAAGAACCAGCAAATAAGGCCTAAAGCTAGCACAAGAAAGGACATAATACAGAAAAAAACAATATAGAAACAGCAACAAAAAACGTGTAACAGATCAATGAAACTACATTAATGGTTCTTTGAAAGAATAAACAAAATTGATAACCCCCTAGCTGGACTTATCAAAAAGAAAAGAGAGGACCCAAATAGAAAAAAATCACAAATGCAAGAGGAGAAATTACAACCAATACCAGAGAAATACAAACAATTATAAGAGAATACTACGTAAAATTATATGCCAACAAACTGGGCAATCTAGAAGAAATGGACAAATTCCTAACAATTCACAAACTACCAAAACTGAAACAGGAATAAATAGGAAATTTGAAGAGATGCATAATCAGCAAAGAAAATGAATCAGTTATCAAAAATTTCCCAATAGGGGCGCCTTGGTAGCTCAGTCGGTTAAGCATCAGACTTTGGCACAGGTCATGATCTCATAGCTCTCTGTGCTGACAGTTCAGAACCTGGAGCTTGCTTCAGATTCTGTGTCTCCCTCTCTCTGCCCCTCCCCCACTGACACTGTCTCTCCCTCTCTCTCAAAAATAAAAAAACAGGGGCGCCTGGGTGGCGCAGTCGGTTAAGCGTCCGACTTCAGCCAGGTCACGATCTCACGGTCTGTGAGTTCGAGCCCCGCGTCGGGCTCTGGGCTGATGGCTCAGAGCCTGGAGCCTGTTTCCGATTCTGTGTCTCCCTCTCTCTCTGCCCCTCCCCGTTCATGCTCTGTCTCTCTCTGTCCCAAAAATAAATAAACGTTGAAAAAAATAAAAAAAAAAAATTAAATAAAAAAAATTTAAAAAAAAAATAAAAAAAAAAATTTTTTTATCTCCCAACAAATAAGAGCCATGGGCCAGATGCCTTCTCAGGGGAATTCTACCAGACATTTAAAGAAGAGTTGACACCTCTTCTTTTCAAATTGTTCCAAAAAATAGGATGGAAGGAAAGCTTCCAAACTCATTCTATGAAGACAGTATTACCTTGATTCTAAAACCAGACAAAGACTCCACTAAAAAGGAGAATTACAGGCCAATATCCTTGATGAAACTGGATATAAAACTTCTCAACAAGATCCTAGCAAATAGAATCCAACAGAATATACATTAGAAGAATTATTCACCATGATCACGTGGAATTTATTCCTGGGCGGTTCAATATTTGCAAATCAATCAACATGATACACATTAATAAAAGAATAAGAACCATATATCCTCTCAATAGATGCAGAAAAAATATTTGACAAAATACAGCATCCTTTCTTGATAAAAACCCTCAAGAAAATAGGGATAGTAGGAACATACTCCATCATAATAAAGGCCATATATGAAAGAGCTACAGCTAATATCATCCTCAATGGGAAAAGACTGAGATCTTTCCCCCTAAGGTCAGGAACACGACAGGGATGTCCACACTCACCACTGTTGTTCAACATAGTACTGAAAGTCCTAGCCTCAGCAATCAGAAAACAAAAATAAATAGAAGCCATACAAATGGCAAGAAAGAAGTCAAATTTTCACTCTTTGCAGATGAGATGACACTCTACGTGGAAAATTTGAAAGAGTCCATCAAAACACTACTAGATTTCAGGGTGCCTGGGTGGCTCAGTCAGTTGAGCATCTGACTTTGGCTCAGGTCAGGATCTCACAGTTTGTGAGTTCGAGCCCCACATCGGGCTCTGTGCTGACAGCTCAGAGCCTGGAGCCAGTTTCAGTCTCTGTGTCTCCTTCTCTCTGCCCCTTCCCCGCTCATGCTCTGTCTCTCTCTGTCTCTCAAAAATGAATAAACATTAATAAACAACAACAACAAAAAATACTAAACTAAAAAAAAAAAAACACTGCTAGATTTCATACATGATTTCAGCAAAGTCACAGGATATAAAACCAACATAGAGAAATCGGTTGCATTTCTATACACCAATAATCCTTTGCAGAAAGAGAAATCAAGGAATTGATCCCATTAACAACTGTACCAAAATCAGTAAGATACACAGGAATAAACATAAACAAAGAGGTAAAAGATCTGTATGCTGAAAACTATAGAAAGGTTATGAAAGAAATTGTAGAACTCACAGGGAAAAGGAAAAACATTCCATGTTCATGAACTAGAAGAACATTGTTAAAATGTCAATACTACCCAAAGCAATCTACACATTCAATGCAATCCCTATCAAAATAACACAAGCATTCTTCACAGAGCTAGAGCCAACAATTCTAAAATTTTTATGAAACCAGAAAAGGTCCTGAATAGTCAGAGCAATCCTGAAAAAGAAAACCAAAGCTGGAGGCATCACAATTCTGGACTTGAAGCTGTATCACAAAGCTGTAATCATCATGACAGTATGGCACTGGCACAGAAACACATAGGTCAATGGAACAGAATAGAGAACCCAGAAATGGACCCCAAAATGTATGGCCATAATCTTCAACAAAGCAGGAAAGAATATCCAATGGAAAAAAGACAGTCTCTTCAGCAAATGGTGTTGAGAAAACTGGACAGGGACATGCAAAAGAATGAAATTGGAGCACGTTCTTACCCTGTATACAAAAATAAACTCAAAATGGATGAAAGACCTAAATGTAAGACAGGAAACCATTAGAACCATTCAGGAGAAAACAGACAGCAACCTCTCTGACCTTGGCCAGAGCAACTTCCTACTAGACATGTCTCTGGAAGCAAGGGCAACAAAAGCAAAAATGAACTATTGGGACCTCATCAAGATAAAAGGCTTCTGCACGGCAAAAGAAACAATCCACAAAACTAAAAGGCAGCCTACAGAAAGGGAGAAGATATATGCAAATGACGTATCAGATAAAGGAATAATATCCAAAATCTATAAAGAATTTATCAAACTCACCACCCAAAAAATAAATAATCCACTGAGGAAATGGGCAAAAGACATGAATAGACACTTTTCCAAAGAAGACATACAGATGGCTAAGAGACACATGAAAAAATGCTCAACATCACTCATCATCAGGGAAATACAAATCAAAACCACCATGAGATATCACGTCACACCTGTCAGATAAGCTAAATGAACAACTCCAGAAACAACAGATGTTGGTGAGGATGTGGAGAAAGGGGAATACTTCTGCACCATTGGTGGGAATGCAAACTGGTGCAGCCACTCTGGAAAACAGTACAGAGGTTCCTCCAAAAATTAAAAATAGATACCCTACGACTCAGTAATTGGCACTACTCAGTATTTATCCAAAGGATACAAAAATGCTGATTCAAAGAGACACATGCACCACAATGTTTAGAGCAGTGCTATCAACAATAGCCAAATTATGGAAAGAGCCCAAATGTCCATCAATTGATAAATGGATGAAGAAGATATGTGGGGGGGGTGTGTGCGCAGGGGGGGGGGGGGGTGGTGTGTGTGCATACATCTGTACACACACGTACACACACACACACATATATATATAATGTACACATACACACATACAATGGAATATTAGTGATCAAGAAAGAATGAAATCTTGCCATATATTATGCTAAATGAAATAAGTCAGAGAAAGACAAACATGATTTCACTCATATGTGGATTATAAGAAACAGATGAAGACAGGGGAAGGGAAGGAAAAATAAGATAACAGAGAAGGAAGCAAACCATAACAGACTCTTAAATAAAGAAAACAAACTGAGGGTTGCTGGAGGGGAGGTCAGTGGGAGGGATGGGCTAAACAGGTGATAGGCATTAAGGAAGGCACCTGTTGGAATAAGCAGTGGGTGTTATAAGTAAGTGGTCAATCGCTGGATTCTACCCCTGAAACCAATATTACACTATATGTTAACTAACTTGAGTTTAAATAAAAATAAATAATTTTTAAAAAGGTGACAAGGTGTATTTGACCTTAATGATGAAAAATAAGAAAAAAATGAATATTAAGGGTATAGACACATACTACACATAAATATTATGCATGTTGATGAGAGAGAAGACAATAGAGATGATCAGAGGCCAGAAGTATTCCAAATGTGATTTCCTGACTGCTAAGATTGTGGGAAATTAAAAAGATATCTATACACTCTATTCTTGATATTTTATAATTCAATGAGAGAACATTATTCAAATATCAAAACTTACTACATATAACTCATTTCTTCTGCTATGATAGTAGGTACCGTATAATCGATCTGAAAGACAAAAAGTGAAAATAAGACAACTAGAAAGAGGAGCAAAGCATCAAAGATTTCAGACATGTTTCACAATTTCAAAGAGTTAGAAATCTCTCCTTTTGCATGGCTGAGTCTAAGACTTTCTCTTATACGTGCAAAGAACACATGTCAAGTTTGTGAGGAAATCCTCCCCCTCCCTCAGATTAATATGATATAGAAAGTCAAAAGTCATTGAACTCCTCCAAAGTATTTTATGATGGAAACTTACTTGTTTCATATCCAGTGGGCCAATATTGGTTATGTTGTTTAAGCGAGCCTTTCCAATAACAGTTTTTGAAAACTGAACTTGTGCAGTGATATTTTCAACTTCAACAGAATAATAGTTATTGTTTGTTATATTTAGTGTGTTCTGTAAAAGAAAAGGCAAAAAATGTATAAGCATAACAAATATGTATCCAAAATCAATTTAAAAAAATGACTTCAGAGGTGCCTGGGTGGCTTAGTCCATTAAGCATCCAACTTCAGCTCAGGTCACCATCTCAGTTTGTGGGTTTGGGCCCCACATCAGGCTCTGTGAGGACAGCTCAAAGCCTGGGGCTTGCTTCGGATTCTGTGTCTCCCTCGCTCTCTGCCCCTCCCCCACTCATGCTCTGTGTCTCTCTCTCAAAAATAAACTTAAAAAAAATGACTTCAGCTGTGGCCACACTTCAGTTATTAGGGGGAAGAAAAATATTGCCAAAAATATCAAAGGATATTAAATAAGCTAATTATTTGGTTTTATGATGAATACTATGTACATAATATGCCAACAATAAGCACACAATTAAAAATTAACAGGTCTACGGGGCGCCTGGGTGGCTCAGTCAGTTAAGCATCTGACTTTGGCTTAGGTCATGATCTCACGGTTCCTGAGTTAAAGCCCCGCATCAATCTCTGTACTGACAGCTTGAAGCCTGGAGCCTGCTTCAGATTCTGTGTCTCCCTCTCTCTCTCCTTCTCCCCTGCTTGTGCTCTCTCTCTCAAAAATAAATAAATGTGAAAAAAAATTTAAAAAATAAACAACAGGCCCAGAAAATGTACATTATAGGAATATAGAAAATGAATGTTAGAAAATGTATTTATGGCCTTAGAAAAATTCTATAAAAATAATTTTTAAATTTCATCTGAATTTCTACTAAATGTTAATATATAAATATCTTCACAGACTATATTAGTAATGTATTTCCTATTCTATCAGATACAAAAATGACCATTTAAAATGTTAAACAGTACTTCATATAAACTTTTTTGTCTAAAAGAAATTGGTATTTTAACTTATACATGAGTAGAGATTTCTACTGGGTCACTTTGGAGAAGAAATGGGATAGATTCAAGTCTATTTGTTGGAAAGAAATTGAGCTACATCATTTCTGTACTTAACAGCAGGGACAATTTCCACAATTCTAATTCACAGTTATGTCAAATTATTTTAGAAAATGAGCAGTGGGGGGGCGCCTGGGTGGCGCAGTCGGTTAAGCGTCCGACTTCAGCCAGGTCACGATCTCGCGGTCCATGAGTTCGAGCCCCGCATCAGGCTCTGGGCTGATGGCTCAGAGCCTGGAGCCTGTTTCCGATTCTGTGTCTCCCTCTCTCTCTCTGCCCCTCCCCTGTTCACGCTCTGTCTCTCTCTGTCCCAAAAATAAAAATAAACGTTGAAAAAAAAAATTAAAAAAAAAAAAAAAAAAAAAAGAAAATGAGCAGTGGGAAAAAAAATGTTAAATCAAGAAATAACAGATAACAAAACATCTAAAACAGTCATCACAAATGAAAATCAATAGTAACTAAATGATGAATGTTAAATATTCATAAGGCAGATTGTAATGGTTACCATTTATATACAAAGAGCCCTCACAAACTGAAAAGAAAACAACAATATCTTTAGAGGTAAAAACAAACAAAAAAAGTAAAGCATATGAATAAACAAATCAAAAGAGTACAAATATAATTGGCCAAGAAACACTTAAAAACCCTGAAATTCATTTAGAGTTAGGAATAAGCTAGTAAACTTAATATTCATTAAACTAGTAAAGCTTGTAGAAAGCAACAAATTCTATTCTTGGTAAGGATTTGAGCACAAGGGTCAATTTTTACATTACTGGGAAACGTGAAGCATTGCAGCCATTCTGGTAAGTAATCTAGCAATATCCATTAAAATAAAAATACATATATCCTTTGACCTAGCAATCCTACTTTTGAGCATTTATTCCAAAGAAATAAAAACATCATGATGTGAATGAGAATAGTGGCAAAAACAAAAAGAAAAGAAAGTGAATGACCATCCACAAAAATGATTAGTATTAAATTATTGCATGGAGTGTTACGCAGGCCATTAAAAACAATGTAGTAAGTCTAAGACACAAATTCAGGAGAGATTTCTACAAGGTATTAACAAGTGAGAAAACCAACATGCGTAAAATATGTACAAAATATTCTTTTGAAAATAAATATTACTTTAAGAAAAGCTGACAATGTGAGCTTATAAATTAATATAAATATGGAGAAAGATGAAAAGATGCAATAAGGGATAAGTGGAAAGAAGAATCTTAGTAAAAAAGGATTAAAAAAACAATGTACTAGTGACCAGCAATTACATGATCACATTTATGTATTAATTTAAATCATAGTTATAAATGTAGAGTTTTTCTTTTAATTTCCTAATATAGTAGAAATAATCTTTACCTAAATATACAAACGTTTTTATCTACTTGGCTCTTAATACCCATGTCAACTTAATTTCTAGACACTGCAGGAAAGAGATTGTTAATTTGAGGTCAATGGACCTTCTGATACAGGCCAAAGAATGGGATTCAGAAGAATCTTGGAATCCTTTGGACATGCAAAATAATGTTGGTAGAGGTCTTTTTCTGAAGTGCCACAGCTTTCATGAGAACATTAAAAGGATCAATCATATATTGAAGGCTAGAAAGATGACAAAGATAAACATTAAGAAAGACAAAAAAAAAAGGACAAAAAGTTTAGTACTAACAGACATATTGTTACTGAGAGCAGTGAGAATCCACTTAATTTGTAAGTCAAGAGAGCACAAGCATAAGCTTTCAAATAATGATTTAAAAAAAAAATTTTTTTTTAATGTTTGTTTATTTTTTGAGAGAGAGAGACAGAGTGTGAGCGGTGGAGAGGCAGAGAGAGCGAGAGATACACACAGAATCGGAAGCAGGCTCCCAGCTCTGAGCTGTCAGCACAGACAGCAGTGTTTTCCTGGACAGTAAAACACTATGGATATTTCCCCATATACTAATTTATAAGAGAAATCAAACAGGCACTTGTACCTTATCTTTAGACACAATACAGGAATAGTCTGTTAAAACGGTAAAAATTGTATTTCACCATATATAAGGAAAAGAAACTGTTACCTTTATAACATTTATAGAATCAACCTACTTTTAACACTTTGCAAGAAGCTATTCAAAGGCTGAAAAGTAAACGGACTATAAATATTCTTTCGTCAACAACAGTTTAGTTTATTTACCATTTTAAAGGCAACTTCAAATGCTAAATGATTCTGTATACACAATCACCAGTACTTACTATTTGCCATTTTCGGCACAACCAGAAATGATAGAAATCATCAACAGCAGATATACAGAAAGCAAACTGACCAGTGTCACATTTAATATTCTCTCAGAGGGACAAAAGTGTACTTAATATAATAAAGGAATGTAATCAAATATTTTAATGTAATTTTGTACTTACCGTGATATTTAAATATACTGTACGCTTTTGAACATCATAACTGACGTATGCTGATTTTACGCCAATGTATTTCACGTCAATAGAGCGAGGGAAAAGGAAAAACACAGCCAATCCAGAGAGGAGCAGACAGACAAACACAGAAGCCATCACATACAGCTTTCTGAAAACAAAAATGAGAGTAAGAAAATACATGTGCATCAAAAATTACATAATGAAACATTTAGAGAAGTTTTTTCAACTTGAATTTTTCCCCTATTATACCAGCAGGAAAAGATGTATAATTTTACCATTTTTTTATATTATAAAAGTAATTAGTAGTGTTGGGTCTGGTCTATAAAGTGTTAAAATGTTCTCCTTAAAAGATGTATGTACCTTTTTGGAGACTGGGATTTCAGGATTACTGAAGGCAGAATATTAACTACAGTCATTCCTAAACCAGGCTGCACACTAGAATTAATTAAGCTGGAGAACTTTATAAAAACATGGATTTCAAGAGTCCCTTCTCTCCCTTCTGAATTTAGCAGAGCAGAATTTTCACGTGAGTTTTGCATGTGAGTCCCAAAGTGACTGCTCATCAGAACCACCAGTGAAGCCCTTAAAAGCATAATGACATAACCACAAGCCTCATGAATCCCACTAAGTCTCACTAAGACTTTTTGAGTCTCCTCATCCCAAAGTATTTATGTACTCAGTTTTTAAAATATTGTTTACATTAATCAACTCTGTTTTGATGATGCTATTAAGCTGTTTCTTGAAAATCAAGAAAGGGGATACTAATATGCAGATATAAGACAAGAAAAAAAAAAACAAAACAAAAAACTTTCCATGCCTTTCCTAGTCTTCTAACTCTCCTTGACAGGTATCTCTTCCATCTCCCGCTCTTTATTTCCAATCTCCAGAGATAAAAATTGCCTCTATCTTCAATTTTATCCTCAAAATAGGGTTTCAAAGTAAAATTTTCCTGGTTTCTCCAAAAAACAGCTCTCAGCTCAAAGCCCACAGCACCTTTTATTTTTTTTAAAAACTAGGTCTTTTATATTACTTAATCTTTTCTTTATGTTCTAGTCATTAAATAAATACTCATTTTATCCTTTCTCCTACTTTGTCTTCCTCACCAATTCCCAAATCCCTTAATAGACATAATCTTTGCCTGGCCCATAACTGCTATTTCAAATGACTCTTGCACATGTTTTATGTTTCTGAGTATTTTGTCTAAGAAAAGAGAACAAAATGGTTTAAAAAAAAAATAAAACAAAGATTCGCTAAGTCACTGCCACTAGGCCCACACTACTGTTCTGAGCAAACAAAGACGTTCCCACTCACTCACTCTAGATTTCCTCGAAATGAGTAGGGTGATGATCACTACTAGATCACCTACTGAATAGTTTAGCACACATTTATAGTACCTACTCTACACCAAACCCCTAAAAAAGGTATAAAAAAAAAGTTCAAAAATCATGACTAAAAAAATCTGAACTTTGTTGAATTTTCTTCTATTTTAGTGTTGTTATTTTTAATTAGTGCTAGGTGAGCCCGCCGTAATCTATTTAGGGTTTAGGGCCTATAAATCAGCTCCGGGTGTTAATATATGATCAATGTCCTAAATTACTCTGCACCCCAAGTTTACAGCCATGAATCTGATGGGATAAACATTCCACATAGTATTTCCTACCAAATTGAAAAACTGGCTAGTACACTGATGAAGACTATAGATGTCTATTATAAAATTCACCAGTCATCATTTTTCTTATGGCTCTAGGGACAGTAATGAATCCTAGGAGGTATAGAACTGATAAAGCTATAAAGATCATGTGGCTTATTTGGACTCAAGTTACATTTCTACTTTTGCCATTTCCTACTTGCAACACTTTCGGCAATTTGCTTTTTTTCTCCACTCTAAAATGTGTAGATTTGTTTTCAGGATTAAATGATACAGCTAAAATATGCAGACAAAAGCAATAAATAAATATAATTTCCTAACTACCTCATCACAACTCCCCCAACTTAAAGAACCACAGTTGTTCGTAAAATATTATAGTTTCACTAAAAAATGAGTCATTGTTTTTTCACTGCACATCTGAAACTCCTAAAAATTCTTAAGGGGCTTCCTACGGTTTTCAGATTTCTTAGCTTACTAATGGTGTGGACCTTGCTACTTTCTCAAGCTTCATCTCTACCACTTTCCAACAGCAGCATTTACTTTACGCAAACATCTGAATGCCAGCCTGTTACTCTCATCTATGCACATACTGTTCCTTCTGTTGAAACGGTCTACCTCAACTTTTTCTACTTTTCTAAAATTCAGCTAATGCTTCATCTTCTTTGGAGCCTTCCCTAATTCCATAAAATAATTTAGATTCTACCATACTCTGCTCTCATAGTACTCTGGAAATACCTCTAACAGGTAAGACAAAGGTACTGTAATCACCAGCTTACATGTCTATCTCCTCGATAAATTCATAATTCCCTTATACCAAAGATACTTTTGAACAATTTGTATCCCAGGCCTTAGAACAGTGACTGATTTCACAGGTACTCAATAGGTGTCTAGGTTGCCGTCCAATAGTATTTTTCTCTTCATATTTCATTCTGAATACTTACTATTGCTATGTATTTAAATTCACTCCTTTTTCCTGAAGTGTCTAATTTGTTGTTAACTCTTCCCATGTAGTTTTCATCTTATTCAGATATTGTAGTTTTCATTTCTAAACATTCTATTTGGATCTTTTTAAAATATCTTCCATGTCTATTCTTAAGCCCCATCTCTTGAAACTACAGAATATAGTTAAAGTAAGTATTTCACTGTCCTTGTCAAATGCTTTCTTCTATGCCATTTATTGGTCTGTTTCTATAAATGGTCTTTCCCATTATGGGCTCTATTTTTCATCTTCTTTTCACGCTTGGTAATTTTTAATTGGATGACAGACTCATATATTTTACCATGTTGAATGCAGGATAGTTTGGAATTCCTACATATACATTCTTGAGCTCTGTACTGGGATATAGTTGAGTTTCTTGCAAAGAATTTAAACCTTTTGACGTTTGCTTTTAGGTCTTGTTAAGCATGAGTACTGCAGCTTTTAATCTAGGGCTAATTCTTTCTGTTACTGTGGAAATAACCTTCTGAGTACTCCACCCGATTCCCTCTGAATTATGAGATTTTCCACACTGATTGGTGGAAACTATCCCTGGTCCTATATAAGCGTTAGGGACTGCTCCCTCTGTTTTGTTTTGTATGTTTCTTCCTTCAGCCTCAGGGGCTTTCTTCACACATATACACTGATCAGTACTCAGCTAGACACTCACAGAGTACCCAGTGGTAACTCTCTATCCTCTGGTACTTTGCCCTACTAACTGTGGTCTTGGCCTCTGAGATTCCCAGGACCATCTATCTCCTCAGTTTAGGGGTTCTGCTAAGCTCTGCCTGCACTCTTTCCATTGTACTGTGATCTGATATCTTTTCCTAGACAGTAAAGTGGTACAATCATAGGGTTTACGTCATTAGCTTTCCCTTTCTCAGATATCACTGGCCTGTACTGGCTGATGTCCACTGTCTAAAAATATTGTTTCATTTATCTGTCCAGTTTTTTAGTTGTTTCAGACATAAGAATAAACCTAGTCCCTATGATTCCATCTTTGGTTGGAAATGAAAAAAACAAATTTATTTGATTTTGTACTTGTATCACTTTGTTTTTAGGCTAAGAATCTTATTCCCTAATGACATTAGTACATAATTACTTACCTGCTTTACATAAAGAAGTTTCAAAATTACACTAACATTACTCCTAACAATGCAGCTACTGAGTACAGTTTAAGCTTTTGTTGGTAGTTATCTTTGTCATTTAGAACACATCTTCCTAGACACTGACAGTCAAAGTGCAATGTTTTCAAGTCACTTAAAGTGATTCTTTCATCTGCAGTCATGCCAACAACCGGATATACAGTTAGATCATTTGTTTCAGTTTGTTTCAATTTTTAGCACTTTTTAAATTTTACTTCCAATTTCCAAACTTTTAAATTCTATTTAAAAAAATGTACATGGTTGTAAAGTTCAAACAATATAAATATATACACATACACACAGAGATCTCACGTGTTTACCTGTTCCCTCTTCCAAGTTCCTTCCCAAATTCTGAGTAATCAATTGTATTAGTCTTAGGTTTATCATTCCATTGTTTCTCTCTCCTTCTCTGTATGCATGTGTGTGTTTTCAGATAGAACCATACTCTAGATATGAACTGTAGTGAAATACAGAGTTCTTCCTTTTCCATGTTATCATTGCATAGATGTAGCGTGACTTATCTACCCGAATCCTATTATTGGACATTTATATTACTTCTAGTCCTTTGCTATTATAAAACACTGGCACAGTGGATAAAAACCATACTTTATTTGACAATTATCCTCAGGAAAACATTTTCAAAGTAGAATTCCTGAGCGAAAGGGTAAATGTGTTATGTAATTTTGCTAGATAACATCAAATTCCCTTTCACCAAGGTATGGATGTGCTCATTTCACACAGTGTTGCCAACAAAATACACTGTCAAAATTTGGAGCCTGGCTGATCTGATAGATAAAAAATGGTATTTCAATGTTTTAATCTGTATTTCTTTTATGATCAAGACTGAACATCTTTTCACATGTTTAAAGGACATCTGCATTTCTTTCTTGTGGATGAGCTGTTCATATCTTACTTTTTGTTTGGTGGTGGCCTTTTCCTCTCAAATTGTGAAACTCCTTATAGTGTAAGGATATTGGCCATATGTTTGCGGTAACGTGCAGACATCGCTTCCCAGTTTGCCATTTATATTCTGCCTTCAACTAAGGTTTTGTTTTCAACCTGTAAAAGTTAACCTATACTTTGTCAAATTAATTAATCTTTTCTTTCCTCACTGGATTTTGAATCATACTTAGAGAGTTTTTTTTCATCCTAAGATTATAAAGGAATTAAGCCTAATTTCTTGAATATGCATAACCATCTACATAATTTATAATAAAGGGTCACATTGACTTTTTAAAATTTTTGGTTCATCTTCTTTCCAATGGTACATATTTAAATATGCTGCTCTACTGATTACTTGTTTGGAGCACTGTGGTCAAGAAGCATGCCAATCTGATTTTCTGTCCCTTATAAATTGATCCTTTTGCCTGGGATTTTTCAAAGGGTTTTTCTGTTTTGTTTTGTTTTTTTACCATCAAAGTCCAGTACTTTCACTAGGATGGGTAGCACACAATTTAAAATCATGGCATGTCTTTTCAGTATGTAGGTTCATGTCTTGTTTTACCTCAGGGAAGTGTTCTCGAATTGAGTATTTAGTATTTGTTCAGTTTGATTCCTTTGGTTTTTCTACAGGGGCTTCAATTACATGTTTGTTCAATCTTCTTTCCTTGTGTTCTATACCATTTTACCTTAAATACTTTTCATTAATGTGTCTGTGTTTTCATTTACTCCTTTGTACGTTCTATATCCTTTGCCATACTTTCCATGGTATCTGTTTGCACTATGTTCTTTCAGTCTTGTCTTCATATCTGAAATTATTTTTTTCTAATTCTTTCAGGGGTTCATAGTCTTATTTCACGTCCTCATATTGTTTAGTCATCTCATTTCTGAGCTTTTCAATTTCTGACTCATGCTGTTCTGTCATAGCTTCTATAGGTTTCTTAAGTTACAGTTTTCATCTGTTTTTCTGATATGTTTCCATGATCTGTTAACATTTTATTTCAGTTCACTTTCTTCTTCTTTCTTTTTAACTGACTTTGTGTGACACTTCACTGCAATATTTTTTGTTGCTCGTGTTTAAATGAGATGTTTTTGTACATTTCACAGAAGCTTTCCATTTTCGTGAAGATGGGCCAGGGTGGCTTTCCTGAACTCCATCCTCTGTTGTAATAAAGTTGTTGTGTTTTTTTTTTTTAAGATGGCCTGTATGTATGTCCACTTCTATGGTTCTGAGATTCTCTCTCTAGTTTTTGAAACTTTCTTCCTTTTCCCCTATTCTTTCCCTGTACAAAATGGATCTAATCCCCAGTAGGCTTTTCCTTAGGATATGTCTGTCCTTTTGCAAGAGTTTTTGGTGAGTTTTCCTAAGGTCTTTGAGGGCTCAAGGTGGTCTAGTTCCTTCTGATCTTCTCAAATCCCCTTAGTGAATCTCTATGGCCTCTGTGTACCTTTTCTGCCCTCTCTCCAAGGTACAGGAAGTGGAGGCCTCCCAGGTTATTTTTTGACAGGTTACTCCCATAAGTATTTGCTGGAAGTGGGATCCTCTTCTTCTTGGGTACTATGTATCAGAGCATTTGCTTGGTATATCAGGGCTCTTAGGACCTTCTGCAATTCTTCTTGTGTCTCTTCACAAATTCCCCACAGCTGCTAACACTTTCTGATCCTTGCTCTGTCTTCATTCTAGGGTGAGTAGGAGAACCTTAACACTCATTTTTGACGAAAATGTTTGTGTATCCTACTGCTATTCTAGGTTTGTCTGTTTTAGTAAATAGATTTTTGAGGAAATTCAGATGCTATGCTGCTTTGAAGACCTTACCCCAACCAGGAATCCTTTTTTTTTTTTTTTTTTAAATAATACAAAGCATCTGATGGCATAATTTAACAACCTGATGACATTTTTCATTTTAAAAGTGTTAAACTAGAGTAATTACACATAATTCAAAAAGCAAAGAATACAAAAAAATTTGCTATTTTCTTATCACTTACGTCCTTCTTGGCCTTAATCTCTGATCACTATATGGAATCAATGCCACAAGCTGGTTTTCTTGCCCTAAAAGTAAAAGTACATTTAGAAATTTATTAACACTATTAATTAAAATATAGTAGATTTCTATCTAAGTGTGGTTTAGAAAGATCAGACTACAACCCAGCTCTCATCTCATTACTTTAGTAAACTGCTCTCAAATCTTCAAAAATTATCAAGTAGACATTGAGTTCTAAAAGAGGTAATTTATCTTTCAGAGCTTGATGTCTAGACAAAATAATACAAAGAATGAGAAAGAGTAATCTTTTTACTGAAAAAAATCTAAAAAGTCCCAGCTTTCAGAAGATCTGAATTCACCAAGACTTCCTTCAACTGTGTATTTTCCACTTAGATTCTGATTTGGGTATCTGGATAAGGGCAGAAGAAACAGCGCTACCTTGCTGTCCTGAAATCACTATAACTACAGAGGTTCCTACACTATATTCTTGAAAATCAAAAGTGACACACAGAAAGTCTCATGCTTCAAGAGCTTATACAAAATGAGCCTTCCACAACTCATTTAGGCCACACATTGTCTGCATTATGTGACTCCAAAATCCATCCTTTATTTCCTGGGTTGGGCTATATCCAGATTTAACAGATAAGTAGATCTTTAATACGCCAATTTTTCCAATCTCATCAGAACTAAGCTGTTTGTAGTAACTCTTAAAGCACTAGAGTCACATTCTCTCTTTTTTTTTTTTTAATGATTATTTATTTTTGAGAGACAGAAAAAGACAGAGTGTGAGCAGGGGAGGGGCAGAGAGAGACGGAGACACAGAATCTGAAGCAGGCTCCAGGCTCTGAGCTGTCAGCACAGAGCCCGACGCAGGGCTTGAACTCAGGAGCCGTGAGATCACAACCTGAGCCGAAGTCGGACGCTTAACTAGCTGAGCCACCCAGGCACCCCATAGTCAAATTCTCTTTTAAAGCTTCCTGTAATGCTTCCATTATTCCTCCCTGCCCCTTCCACAACTCTCTCCTCATTTACACTACCTCCCCACACCACATTTAAATATATATTACATACACATATCTTTTTCTCTGTGTACACATATCCCGTCTTTTTTGGTGATGTTCATTTGGCTAAACTAAATCCTGCTTAAAAGTAACCTTTTAGCTCCTACGGTGATATCCATACAGCTAAATATTAACAGAGAAAAACATACAACTATGCTCACTGGCTTCATTTAGATCACTAATCACAAGTGGCCTTTAATGTCAGTCATCATACATTACCCAGGTCACACTCTTAATCTGACTCTCCAAAACCACAATTTCACACTTCAACTTTGTCTTCAAATCTCCAATAGCTCCTTCCCTATCCTCACTCTTAGCTCCTCATGTGACAAAACAGAACTTCCACAAGCTCCCACCACCACGTCTATGCACCTACCTGTCTCTGTGTCCATACACTCTACATTCTCTCCTATTACAAAGAGTAAACTACAGGTGCTCCTCTGTAAGGGCAGCCTCCTGCTCTTGTGTGCTACATCTAATAATTCTCCCATCTCCTGCGCTATCACCTTTTTTCCTCTATGTATCATTCTCATCAGCATACAAATTATTCACTCCATCTTTTAAAAACTCCCTTTCCTGACTCAGAGCCCCCCTCCCGCTACCGTCTCTATTCTTTGCTTATATATATAGTAAAACTCCTCAAAAATACTACTTTCTTACCACATAACTTCACTCCTCCTATGCACTATTGATCCCACGCTATACGTGCTATATGCAACCTGCCACAGCTGCCCTTTTAAAGGTATCCAGTGGTCTCTATCCACATCACCAAATCCAATGGTCAGTTCTCACTCCTTACATTACCTGATCTATCAGTAGCATCTAACAGTTGTACACTCTCTCCTCCTTGGTACACTTTCTGCATTTATTTCCAGGACACCACAGATACAACGGAATTTCCTCCTTCTACTCTAGCTGCTTTTTCATTGTCTTTGCTAAATCTTCCTCCTGTCACTGAGTTTGAAATGTTGAAATGTCCCAAAGTTCAGCATTAGGGTCTCTTTTTTTTCCATTCACACTGATAAGTTTGGTGCTCTCATCCAACTCAGCTTTAAGTACCACCTGTATTATGATGACTCCAGCCAAGGCCTTGCATTTGAATTCCAGACAATTATAACTAAGTCCCTACTAAATAGGCCCACTTAGATGTCAAATATGCATCTCCACACTTACATCTCTAAAACAGAACTCCTGATCTCTCCCTGGATATACACACTCAAACCTTCTTTTCTCCATTTTAATTAACAGCTACACCATTCTTCCAGCTATTCAGACAAAAATACCTTCAGAGTCATCCTTGACTTTCTACTATCCACAATCCACTTCCAGGCTGCCAAAAAAGCCAAGTGGTTACACCTCAAAATCATAACCCGAATGCCAGAATGGTCCTTTTTTTTTTTTTTTCTGTCTTAGCCTAAGGCACTAATCCCTTCACCTACAAAAATCCTTTTATTCTGTATCAGGTACTTATCCCTGCAATGATAAAGCCATCACATTGAAAGGCCAACTCATATGTAAACTTCCCCAATCTAATGCATTGCTTAGAAACTCTGGTATACCTTATGTGGACACTGCCCTTCCCTCATGGTTTCTCCAGGGTTACCTATCAACTTCAACCAGGCAGAAAATGAGGATGGCACAAAGTATTTTCATGATTTCTACTGTCGCCAGTTCTACTAAAGTTTGTGTAGGCTACAAGCAACACATGAAGATTACTCCCTTCTGAATTTCCCTATGATATGCCACCAACTGATCCCCCCCACCCCCCCGTATGACCCATCTGAATTTACCAACCCTTTTCATGTAGTTCCTCTTAAAAATAACTAATTAGGGCATGACTGGCTTGCTTTTATTCTTTACATCGTGAACTAAAAATATTAGGTCACCAAATTACTTAAATTGTTCCTAGTGCCCAACGTGATTATGACCAAATAGGACTAAAAATTTTCAGTCAAAAGACACTGCATATCTAGTATCACAAGGGGGAAAGAAAACAATACTAGACGTAGAGGGGTGGTTTTCATTACTGCTTTGTAAACCTGAATGTGTTTATGGGTTTTTTTTTAATGTTTATGTTTGTCTCTTTGTGTCCGTTTAACTGAAGATAACTGATACACAGTTTTAACTTTAATCCTACAAGTTTTTAAAACACAAAGGGCTGTGCTTTGATCTATGGGTTTGCTATCATTACAAATTCATTACAAATCCAGTGCAAATGCCTGGAATAACTCTTTAAAGGAAAAATAACACAGTAACACATACCCCTAGGAATTCTTCCTGTTCCTTGACAAGTGGGACAAGTGACACTATCTCTTCCTGTAAATTCCACATACGGAAACTGAGAGACATCTCCACCTCTTCCATCTTCATTATGGACTTCATTATTAACCAGTCCATTCCTCATATTTTCAGTTGATGTGACTCCATCATAAGCATCTTCTTTATTTGAATGCAAAGGCAAATGAGAAAAAGACTTTCCCATGTCTAAAGAAAAAGAAATATCTTACGATAAAATCAGGGTAAAAGTACGTACACTCAAGAACATTATGGGATTTTTATACCAATATAATTAACATAGAGCAAACTTCAAGGGAATATTCAAATTACTTTTGGATTAGAATTATATTTAATCAGGGTAACAGTTGAAACAAGGGAGCCAAGAGTCCAAAGTGTTTTTTTCTAACAAATTATTATAAAATGGTATCATATCAGACTCATGATGAGAATGGGCTCTCAAACATTAAAATTGCACCTAAGTTTGCACTTTTTAAGGTTCTCTGAAAAGAAAGCGGTCTTCACTAGAATACAACAAAAACATATTGTACCTTTAAACCAATTAGCACGAAAGGCTAAAGTTGCTTTAGGCAGATTATGACTGTTATTATATTGGATTACCAGGTAAGTTTGAAAGAAGACTTTAACCACCTCTTGTTCCTCCTCAGTCTGTACTTTCTAGGTGCTTAAATTCTTCTTTCCAGCTTATCTCTTCTCAGGCAAAAGACCCTGAGGGCCAAGCATCCTGTGATGGTAAGCAAAACACGCCCTTCAAGCAATAAGGGCTTTCCAGACCCCAAGACAATTATCGATCTGAACTTAGTGGCTACCTGCACGTACCCATCCACCTTTGTCCCACATTTTCCTTATATAAACTCAGAAGTATTTTTAGCACTTTGGAGACAATCTTTGTGACTTTAGTCACGGTCTTCCCATGCTGGCCTCACTGAAATAAATTCTTCTCTTGTTTCGCTACCACTTGTCTTTCTGCCTTTGGATATTGTTAGTGGTGAGTGGTTGAACCTCGTCAATTTGGGACCCTCGGAACCACGTGCTCTTGTACCCCTAAACCGTGGCTCCAAGTCAAAAGGAGTACTTTTCTGGGGCGCCTGGGTGGCTCAGTTGGTTAAGCATCTGACTTCGGCTCAGGTCAAGATCTCATGGTCCTTGAGTTCGAGCCCCAAGTCGGGCTCTGTGCTGTCATTTCAGAGCCTGGAGCCTGCATGGGATTCTGTGTCTCCTTCGCTCTCTGCCCCTCCCCCACTCACGCTCTGTCTCTCAAATAATGAATAAATGTTTAAAAAAAATTTTTTTTAAGAAGTAGAAGTAGTACTTTTCAGCCTTTTAAAATTCATGCGCTTTTTGATAAATAAGATCCACAATCCTTCTCATTCTCACATTTCTAGCTTGAAACTTTTAAAGTTTCAACAAAAACTCAAAACCAAATCCTGCATTTGTCTTTCATTCAACAGTTGATGAAATTTCAAAATTACATTGAAACTAATATCCCAAGATATTTAACAGAATTCACCAATACAAAGCAACATTTAGAACAATTAATTTCAAAACTTTAGGGTGACAGTATCAAAAATAACATGGGTAAAATTTAAATTTACATTTAACGTAAACTTAAAACCAAGTAAGAATAAGTGGTAGTACCTACATATATACCATACCTATACAAAATCACCTCTGCAGGTACGTAATGCAAGAGTACTGCAGTTGAGTCATACAATTTTCAGGATGAAATGAACTTAAAAGTCATATAATCCAATCTGCTGACATTCTCAGGGAAAATTAATAAAAAGGGAAAGCACAATTACAAATAACGTTTCTGCTCTTTCCAAATTTGACCATTTATCTTTTATCAGTTCCTAAAAATGTATTATTATAGACATTCATACAAAGAGATAAGCATGTCTTTTAGAAATTCTTATTGATTTGAGTAAGGAAAACTGACACTCAGTAATTCAAGTTATAGTATAATATGGAGAAAAGTTTACTTTTTAATACTGGCATGCCACCCACATCCTGGGATCATTCAAACATAGTATATACAGCAGGATAAAAAATATTCACAACCAGATCAATTTAAAATTGTAGAAAGATGAAGGTGCTTATTTTCACTATTTTACTATTTTAAAAAATCTATGTACACATTATCCATGTAAGCTGAAAAACATAAATGATCTATAACGTCCACAAATGCATCATCTTCTCTTGGCTTGTCTCAGTGACATTAAACCCAGGCCAAACCAATTTGCCACTCACAGGTGGTTCAGGGGTGAATTAACATCACTATCTCCACACACTGACCTTGGGACCTGTCTGGAATATCAGTTGAGCAGGGATCAGGGGCCTCAGCAGTGTGGCCACCGAGCCATCCTTTCTGGGATCTTAGCACAACAGGAGTGTTAAGATGTATCCCAAAGAATCCTTTGGGGGAAGGGGGCTGGGCGGACAGGGAGGCACAGAGGGCAAGATCAAGTGGCTCTCAGTCTGGACCTGTTTTCTTTCTGTATCTAACAGTTGTCTTGATGAGTCTGCCTCTGACAAGTGTTTATTTCAGCAACGCTAACTGACAAGCATCAGACTTAGGCACTAGGTATCCCCGCCCTCCCTACTGGATATTCCTCCCATCAAACAGTATTTAGCCACTTTTATTCCTAAAAACCCATTGGTTTATGAAGAGGTGCTACACCCCCCTTTCTTTTCCCTATATGCAATGTTTTCATCGCAATCTCTTACTGAAAACCCAACATGGATCTAAGACTTAGCAGAGAGAGGGGGGAAAAAGTACAGCATTCCATCCAATCTAAATGGGTCGTTTTCTTCTATGATAACGAAAGCCGGCACCTTTTGTTAGCTGCATAAACAAAACACAGCACACAGCCTACTCTGGAAAGGTTAAAGATAAGATCAAGGCAACCGTGCAAAAAAAACTAAAGAAGAGCAAAAGCAGGGGACACCTGGCCGCACAAGGTGTGGGAACCTGGAATCAACCCTAGGCAGGAGACTGGGTCCGGATAGGTGGTGACAAAACACCGCCATTATCCAACCCTGAGCGCCCCCTGGGTCGCTGGGCTGGGCTGGCTCCCCTGAGGCCTCCCCTGTTCTACCTCTTTCCTCCCGCTTGACTCTTTCCAGGACGCCTCCGCTGGGCTCTACTCCGAAAAAGGGACCGAGGGCCTGCGCGTTCAGATTACTCACCTGCACGCAGAGCGCTGCGCAGTACCGAGCTGCTCCGGCGCGCACTGGCCAGGGAATAGGGTCACGGGGTCTGCAGTCCGGATCGCTGGGGCTGGGACTACAGGCCTACAAGCGGCGGCCGCGGATTCGGAGCGGGGGAGGGGCAGCAGAACCACTGCTTTGGCTGAGGCCTGGCGCTGCTGCAACCTGCGTCCGCGCCTGCGCAGAGCTCTCTCCTAGGAGGTGTGTGACCCAGCAGTGCGCACGACGCATGCGTCTTTCCTCCGCCCTGCTAAAGTCCGGAAGGGCAACTGCTATGAGTGTGCACCCTCCAGGTTATGTTACCTTGGTCTCTCTCAAGTCTTGAAGGTAAAAATTGGCCGCTCTCGCCCTGGAAAATTTAAAAATAATAGTACTTCCTTTTTCTTTCTTTCTTTTTTTTCCTGTCAGGCCTTTTCCTTTTGCAAAGGGGGAAAAACAAAACATACACTATCTACTTCAAACCCTCAGCTAAGAAGCTTTCTATCCACGCCTTGCGAGTCGTCCGTGATTGACACTCGGCGACGCTGGGAGTAGGATAAACTGGTTGGTAGACACGCGTCTGACAGCCGAAAAATCCATCATTTGCAATTTAGAAACTAACCCAGTAGAAGGAAACCAAGCTTGGCAGGAGCCCTAGTTTTGTTTGTTTTGGTTTTGCTTGTGTTTTGCACATGGTTCACCGCCCTTCACTCCCCCTCCTGCCCCCTCTCCCTTAAGTACGTAGTTACAGCAGGGTAAGATCCCAGCCCAAGTCCCTGTGCTTCAACTTATCGCTGTGGCTTGGGGCTACTGTCCCCAGCGTCTCAAAGGCTAGGTTATCTCCTTTGGAAGATGAGAATAACAATACAATTGCAGACTAGACTCGCGGCCTTCAGAGAATTTAACGTTTAATGAATGTTACCTATTGTTACAATCACGGTCACAGCATACATAGTAACCAAGAAAGGAAGTGACAGTGTTTTATTTCTCTTCTGACGGGATCAGTGTGTTTAACTGGTGGAATACTAAGATGTAAAAATAAGAAATATAAGTCAAAATAATATGCAATTTAAGATTTAAAGTTATTACATACACATGTGAGCCAATAAGCCTTCTCAGCCAATGTTGGGGAAAATGTAGTTTCATAACTTTCTGACAGGCATTTTAGCAATACATAACAAGAGAATTAAACATTTGGGGACACCTGGCTGGCTCAGTCGGAGGAGCCTGTTGACTCTTTAGCTCCAGGTGGTGGTGAGGTGGTGAGTTCCAGCACCTTGCTGGGTGTAGGGATTACTTAAAAAAAAAAAAAAAGACTTTTTTAAAAAGAGTATTAAAACTTTTAATTTTCACATTCTTTCGCCCAGCAAGCCCACCCTTTGGAATTTATCCTAAAGCTAATGAGAACTCTCAAAAGATTTCTGTACAAACTGTGTTCATTTAACTTAAATGCCCAATAATGAGGCATTGATTAAATCACTCAGCCTCTCTTGTTTAGCCAAATCTTTCTCAAAGGTGGAGGAAGGGGGAGGGGCTGGCATCTTCCACTAACATTGTTTGACTTTTCAAAGTAGCTTGACTACACAAATCAGAATCTTGGAGACCCCCTCTTCTAGTGGCAAACAGAGATACACAACAGTATTTTGTATACATTTTCAAAGGGTTCACAGATTTTCATAAAGTCCGTCCATTAAGACCACTTGGAAAAACCCTGGTTGTAAAATGACAAAGTATTAATGTGGCAAGAAAATGGGTTATAAAACCCATTTAGATAAAAATGGTTGTATGTAGACCTAAATCAGTACAATAACGGTGTTACATTTTCTCGTTCGCAAAAGTTGTTTTAGGAAATTATAATTATGAATTAGAGATAGAGGATTCAATCATGGTATATTAATACTAGGTGACCCACATTTCAGAAAACTCTGAACAGATTCATCCTCTTTTCACAACTTTTTAAAAATTTCCTCAATTAAAAAAGTATCATCATTATTTAAATTGGGTTTAACATTTAAAGGAATGAGTTTTAATTTTTATTTATGAGATGGGACACCCATGATTCTGGCTACAGGGGTTCTTCAGAGTTCTTCAGTGGCACCTAAGGTGATGAATTGTGGAAAGATGTCCAAATAGATTCAGTGTTTTATGGGTCCTCATTTTAAAAAATACAAATGCCTTAACCATATAAGTAATCCTTTAATATAATGCAATAAATTTGAGGTAAGAATGAATAAAAAAATCAAATTAAAAATTTAAAGTGTAAGTCTTAAGGGAGCTTCTATAGTAAGAGAACTTATTATTTCCACATCTAGTATCCTTTGACTCAAAATGTTTTAAAAGATCTAGTTAGAGGGGTGCCTCGGTGGTTCACTTGGTTGAGCATCTGACTCTTGATTTTGCCTCAGGTCAAGATCCCAAGTTCGTAGGATGGAGCCCCAGGTGGGGCTCTGCACTGAGCCTGGAGCTTGACTAGTATTGGGCTCGACTAGTATTGTCTCTCTCTCTCCTCTTGCTCCCTTACCACTTTGCATGTGTGTTCTCTCTCTCTCTCTCTCTCTCTCTCTCTCTCTCTCTCTCTCTCAAATAAAAATAATAATTAAAAACCGAGTTAGAGCCCATAAATAAATTTATATTTTTTCATTACATGTGAAATCTGAAATAGGAACTGGAAGTAGGTGAGAAACTGAAAATTGAGTAGCGATTCTGCATACGTAATTACCCAGTGTAAGTCTCTAGTTCTCCAGTCTTCCTGAATCACCCTTTCTAGCAATATGCAAATGAAATAACCTGAACCTTCTGTAAGTAGAAAGAGGTAGGGGTCCTCAGAAAAGGAAGTCATTTTTAGGCCCCCAGCTATTTTCCATGATCTTACTGGCTCTCCTTGCCCTAACATGCTTGTGGAACTCCCTAGAAGGTGTCAGAATTACAAATAAAAGCAGAAACCTCAGTAGTCAATGATTTTAAGGAAATCTTAATGATTTCAGGAAATTTTAAGGAAATGCAAAAACTAACATCTCTAAGAGGCCAGGACAGGGCCTAACTATAACAGAGACAATAAATTAGTGATAAAACTCCCAGTGCCATTTTAAAAGTGAGCCAGGCCCAGCATGCCTTACCTGAGACCAGGAGCTCCAGACATCATCTAGTTTATAACTGCTCTGCGAGCATGCCCATAGCTCCTTCTTGTCCCACAGTTACCTCTGCTTCATTATGTTAAAGTCTCCACCCATGGAGGAGTACAGGCTTTATTTAGCCTAAGATGCGTGTATCGGCATGTTTTCTAAGTGTGCCTGTGCAGTGTTATACCCACCTTTACTTGTGATGTCAAAGCTCCCATTTCTGGATAGTCATCCTAACCCTAAATAAAAGAAACCCACTTAATGCCACTCAGGGAATCATGGCTTTGGAAGTTAGTCACAGTGATCTACTGTAGTTGCTGTAAACAAAGTTTCCTTTGTGTGACAACTTCACCTGGTGTTGTCTCCACCTGTGAGGCACCAAAGAAAGGACTCTAGTTACTTGCATTACACTTCCTCAATGGAGTGCATTCCCCAGTTTTTCTAAATATTTCTGAGAAGAAGGGCTTACAGCTCTGCTGATAATTTACTGTCATTATTCGATGTGCTTAGCTCCTGGCTCAAGTCTTGGTCACTGTGTGCTGTCTCGTCACTGCTTCTGGATGCTTCTTTGTTCTCTCTATCCCTTTGCCACATGTTTAAACACAGTTCTTTTCCATCATATCACAAGTCACCATGAACAAAAAGCTGTATGTGCAACAGTTTACCAAAGGCTTGTAGAAATTAAAAAGTGGTTTAAGTACAAAAAACAAAAAAACCAAAAACCAACGGAACAACTTAAAACAATATCAGACACTGATTTTTCACTAAAGTTCGAAGTTCATTTTCTGCCAAGAGTCATGTTGTAGTGATTCCCCTTCTTCCTAAGCCCAGTGTCTTCCATCTCTCCTTCCCCAGCAGCCCACTCTCACTCTCCATTGAGCTTTTTCCCAAATGCTTTTCTATAAGTTCTGAAGCACAGAACCCATTTTTCTCAAGCTGCTAGAGATGAAAATGGGGAGTTTCTCTTGCACAGACCAGTTTGGGGCTACCTTTATCTCAACCGCTCTCTTATGAGACTAGCCTAGAGATTACTTTTTATAACAGAACGACCAATTAATATTTGTTCACCAACACAGCGATATCCTTCCAGTGCTTTCAGAATGCAGTGACACTGGGGCGCCTAGGTGGCTCAATAGGTTAAGAGTCTGACACTTGATTTCAGCTCAGGTCATGATCTCACAGTCTGTGAGTTTGAGCCCTACGTCCAGGCTCTGCACTGACAGCTCAGAGCCTGCTTGGGATTCTCTCCCTCTCGCTCTACCTGTCGCCTGTTCACTCTCTTTCTCTCAAAATAAATAAACATTAAAAAAAAAATACAATGACACTGTTATCAAAATTTTAGAATTCTTTCTTCTTTTGTTCCTCTATTCAAAATAGAATGACTAGAACTTAAAAGAACTAACTATAAATATGGAAATTCTTCCTCTGAGATGCCAATTATCAGTTCAAGCACTGGAGGAAAGTGTTTATACCACTGCTGTCCCACAAAAATGTAATTGAGCAATAAATTTAAGCCATATATGTAATTTTAGCTTTTCTAGTAGCCATGTTAGAAAAAATAAAAGGAAATTTGTAGGTTTAATTATAATAACCCAATATGCCTAAGACATTATTGTTTCATAAAAAGTAATGAGATATTTTACATTTTGTTTCATATGAAGTAAAAAATTTTGTGATTCAGTTCTGAGTAGCCGCATGTCAAGTTCTCAACAGCCACATGTGGCTGGGACATATTCTTTTAGACAACACAGCTCCATACAATAATACAAAACACCCGTAGAGTTCCTAGGATTTTCTGATTACATAGAGCTAAAAAGTTTTAATTTAAGAGAGAAAATATCATTTACATTTACTTAAAAATCTTTTTTTAATGTTATTTATTCTTGAGAGAGATAGAGAAGGAGCACGAGCAGGGGAGGGGCAGAGAGAGAGGGAGACACAGAATCCGAAGCAGGCTCCAGGCTCTAGGCTCTAGGTTGTCAGCACAGAGCCCGATGCTGATGCGGGGCTTGAACTCAGGAGCCATGAGATCATGACCTGAGCTGAAGTCGGTGGCTTAACTGACTGAACCACCCAGGTTCCCCTCATT